AAAAAAGTCAGAATTCTGACTTTGATCTCAGAATTCTGACTTTTTTCCAGAATTCTAACTTTTTTTCTCAGAATTTTGAAATAACAAACATGTTAGCATTAAGCCGTAGCCATGTCTGTTTTAGAGACTAGCTCTCTGGTTCTAATCACCTTCTGCTCTTCCATTAATTAAATAGCATCACCGGGGACCCCTCAGGCACGTCCAACATTTTCCACCAATCTGTTACTGGCTCTCCCAAACAACTTACATCTTTCTCAGTGAAGCTCAGTGCTCCACATCTCTTCCTTCATGGTGCCCATCTACATTAAGATCTGCAATTCCAAGATTAAATCCCATTCTGAGACAAAAAAGTCAGAATTCTAACTTTTTTTCCCATATTATGCTAATATGAAATCTAAAATTCAGTTAACTAACCTAATCCTCTTCAGTAGAAATCCCTAGAGGTAGTGTTGGCCAGCTTTTTTTCTTCTTCTCCATATTCTGAGCGAAACCAAAATGGCACAGCGAACTAGTAAATATCCACTGACGAAAGTTTGTTCTTATTTTAAAGCAAAACAAATTAGTATACAAACTGTGTATTGTGTTTGTAGCTTTTGATGCATCTTTGTTGCATGTGTTAGTCCATGTGTAGCAGGATGGGCACATTTGTGACCCTGACGGAGGTGTTGGAGGCGCGGGGTTCCCCCCTGGAAGAGGAGGAGGTCTGGTGTCTGCTGCTGGCCACCACTGATGCCTTACTGGACATCTCTAAGAAAGGTGACGACGTTAAGGCCCCTTCAATGACATCAGCTGTACAGAAAACGGCTGAAATAGTGAATTAGATGAAGTGTGCATTAACAGCCTTGATCAGTGTCTCTCTATGTTTAGGTCCAGGTAACATGTGCAGTGTGTTGAGCCCTGGTGCGGTGCTACTGTCGGCCAATGGGAGCCTGGCCTTCAAGAGCTGCTCCCGAAGTGAGGACGTGATCTCGTTTACAGCTCCAGAGGTCCAGCATGGCCACGCCCCTTCCACCAGGACCGCAGCGGAAAAGGTCAGAGAAACTTCCCTTCTGCTCAGAAAGGCTGAAAAACTTTGAATTATCAACCTGGACGGTAAAAAAATACAGTGAGCAAGATTTTCTGTCAGCTTTTTGGGTTCTGATCCGATTCCAAAAAAGATATAAAATTCAAATATGTTGCAGTTAAAGTAGCATATGATATACAAGTCAAATATTTGGCTTGGTTTTTGAATAGGGTTGCAACTAATGATTATTTTTTATAATCAGTTAATCTTTTAGGTATTGATTGATGTAATGATTAATAATCATAAATCAAAAGTGGGATTTTCCAGAGTTTGACCAAGGAAAGCTAAAACTGCAGCACCTGAGGAGTTCTGGACAAAGAGATAAAATATAAACCTATTTATTGTACAGCGTTTGATTGATTAGGGCTGAGAGAGGCGGGTTCTAAAGACGGTATACTTCAGTTCCTGAATGAATGGATGAATATTACAATAACCGATTATTCACCATTATAGGGGAGTGGTGGCCTAGTGGTTAGAGCACTGATCTTGGCTTCCGGAGTTTCTGCATTCAACCCCCTCATTCCCACAGACTTCCACTCTGGGTCTCTGAGCGAGACCCTTAACCTCAGACTGCTCCCTGGGCGGCGCACAATGGCTGCCCACTGCTCTCCAAGGGGAGGGGTTAACTGCAGAGAGTGAATTTCCCCACTGTGGGACAATAAAGGGATTTAGATTTACATTGGATTTAATCCAATTCAATCCAGATGTCCAGATGCTTCAAATGAAAAAACAAAACAAACCTCCCAGCTGTAACTGAAACATCTGTCACCATAACTAAACTTCTTAACAGCAACATCAGAAGTGGAGGCGGTGGAGGAGTAGAAATACCGTGGCGTTCACCTGGAGAACAAACTGGAGACGCAGCCGTGAAGCGAGAGACAGAGCAGACTGGACTTCCAGAGGAAGCTTAGGTCAGGGGGAACCAATTAAAAATCAGCGGGGTCCAAATAAAGAAAATCATCAACCAGTATTATAATCTGTTACTTTAAACAGAATTTAAAAAGCAGGTTTTTATGCATCCATGGCATATATAATTATTATTTTTTATTTTTTTTTAGATTTTACAGCACTAGTGGCTCGTTTTTATGGACAGTAGGCTGGCAGGAAGGGGGAATGAGAGAGGGGGAGAGACATGTGGCAGAGGACCACAGGCAGGAAATGAACCCGGGTCGGCCGCGTTAAGGACTACGGCCTCCATACATTGGTCGTGCGCACTAACCACAGCTCGTGCCAATACATCCATCCATTTTCTAACACGCTAAATCCCAAGCGGCGTCGTGAGGGGTGCTGGTGCCTATCTCCAGCTGTCTACGGGCGAGAGGCGGGGTACGCCCTGGACAGGTCGCCAGTCCCAATACATTGAATTTTTAGATAAAAAAAATATAAAAATAAATAGAATTTTTTTTTTTTTTTTTTTAAATCTAATTTAAAAGTTTTATTTGAAGTAGAGAACAACAATCGTTCGGTTTGGTATATATAGACAATTTCCTGAGTCACATATTTTATAAAACACCTGAACTGACCATTTTTTTTCTTATGGCTAAATGAGAGCAGTGGGCTTTAGGCTGATTTATACTCCGAAACCAAGTCTTCTGCATGTGTGTCACATGGAACGCAGAGACGTCCCTGCCTGTTCCGCAGACACTCTGCTGCACCTTTCCAAAATTGTAGGTTACCGCAGACAGGAGGCCTCTGATTGTTCAAATCTACCTCCGCTCTACACTATGCATGTTAACTGTTTAGTACCTTAGAGGCTTGTTTTGTTTGTATGACCGCCATTGTGGAAAACGACTGGTGAAGATGGAGCAGCTAGCAGCGCGAGGTGCGTGAGAACGCTGGGACCCTTTTTCAACCTGGATCCCCTCTAGTTTTCGCCCTCATGTCCCTCCATTGTCGAACAAACTTGCCCCCACTTCCTCACCGCCTCGGCCGTATCTACACCCACAGCTAGTTCCTGATTGGCCCTCTGGTGTTGTGGTGTGGCATAACATAGTGCAGACCACGCTTATTGGGCATAAATCAAAAATGTCTGTGTCAGTGTCACACCTGTTAAAAGCTCACTGCGATACACTGCAGGAGGATAACCAGCCCTTTATGCTGCCCTG